TACTCTCAGGAAATGAGAGATTTCGTCGCCTTCTCTCTTTTGTATTTTTTTTTTCTAAATCCGATTGTTTTTATACCCTCATTTAAAAAAATTGCAAAATTTGCCGCCCTCTATAGATTTGCCGCCATGGGCCGCGGCCCATGTGGCCACCCCCTTAATCCGGCCCTGTTTGTTACTGGGATTTTAAAGTCAGTTTTGAATCAATCTTTCTTGATAGGTGCTTAGATATTTTTGGCATAGATTTTAAGCATAACACAGAAAATTTTATCGGGTGTGTGGGGTTGAATGAAATTAGTATTAATTTTGCAGGCATAAAATGAACATAATCAATTTTTTTTGCTCAGATTACGGTTTTTTTCTGTAACACTGATACTCATTTGGACGTATTTATCCTAAAAGGAAGTACATTACAAGCAAACTCTATGCAAACAGTTTTTTTTTTTAGCATGAACATGTCCATTTACGGGTCTTCCTTTTTTTATGGATGGGATTTTGATGATAAACATAAAATGTTTAAAAATGCTGACTTTCGCTACGTTGAAAAAATAAAAAATATTTCATATAATTTTTAAAGAAATTAAATTCATTCATTCTCATAAATAACCATCCTTTAAATGCAAGGTAACAGTTACTTTTTCTGTCACTCAGAGTTTGCTGTAATTCATAGATTAATTTGGCATCTCTTGATTTAAGGCTACTGATACTGAGTTCAATAAAATGCCACTAAAATTTACCTACACAAAAGAACTTAAAACGAGTTGTTTCCTAAAGAAAAAAAAAAACCCCCTGTTGCAGAGTTAAGAGAGGAAACCTTCAAGAAAGTGAGGTGATGAGGGTGTCATGGCATCTTTGAAACATTGCAGTGATTTTCCTACTTTTCTGATGAACATCACCAAACTAGTCAGAGGTAAATCGAAACTTTAAAAAGGCAAAAATTAATGTACGTTTAAAATCTTGTGTTCAAGTAAGAGATTACGGATGCCAAGGCTTAAAGTTATGATATGTAATGTAGTTAACAGGTGATTGGGTAGTGGCATTACTTGGTAGCACAGAAACAGAAAAGAGTAAAATAATTAACATCTAAAAACATTTTATTGCGTCCATAAAGTATGTTAGAGAAAAACCAAGTTATGATCCGTTATCATCATTTAATAAGGTTCAAACAATCAGAACAAAACATAATTCGACAACTCTTAATACAGTTTTTCAAAAATGTTCGATTGAAGATGCAAATACTTCTGGAGGCCTTCTCATCTTTTAAATAGAAAAACAATTTATTCTTATATAAATCTGAGTGATGAGTTGATGCTTTTGCATAATGCTAAAATCCATCCGAACAGGATAAGAGAAGAAAAATTCACTTCACATTGAATTTTTTCATGAAAATTGATTACGAGGCAAGAAAAAGCAATTAAACATATAAAATTATGATGAAAAAAAAAAATGAAATTCTGGGGAATCAGAACCCAAAATTTAAAGGCTTTCAGGACTTTTCCTTCGAATTAAGGATATTCCAACGTTGAGGAATTTCTGTTTCAGATCTTAAAATTCTAGTAGAGGAGATACATTTCAAACATACTGGAAAATTTGCGAGAAGTTTCAAGAAACTATACTCAGTGATTGGTTATTTTAAAAAAAACCTCAAGACACAAGAGGGATGATGCACATGGGCAGTTCTCAATGGCTGACAGCCAATGTTTGATTGAGACCTTCCTTCACAACTGACAATGCACAGCTGACTTCTGGATAGGAAGTCTTGTCTGTTCTTTCATTATTACCCAGATGCATCCTATGATCAATGTTGTATGTTTCATTAAACAATGAGACAAGCATATAAAGTTGGACTAAAAAAAAAAAAAAAAAAAAAAAAAAAAAAAAAAAAAAAAAAAAAAAAAGGAAAATGAGACCAAATCTACGAAAAGGGACCTTCATTTTCAAGCAAAAATTTTCCATAGCTTTTTGCAAATGCATGGAGAGAGAAAATCTAAAAATTTTGATGCAATTGGGACTATGAAAGCTCAAAAATTAAAGAGGATATGAGTCCTAAAGTTCCGAGACAAAAATGTTTAGGCTCTGAAAAAAGTGGTTTAAGTTTTTAAAATAAGTTGAAGAATATTTTCTCCTGCAAGATAAGGTCCCCGGTCACAAATAAAGAAATTCAGTTCTCATCATCAAGTCAAAATATTTTGGAAATCATGAGATGATTCGACTTACATCGATAAATGATCAATTTTCACTGAACAGCAGACATTAGACAATTTGGTCAAATGCAAAATGCCAGCTTAAAATCAGATAACAAAAAAGGGCACAACATAATAACAACTTTAACGCAGATGCATACTTAAAAATATTGAAGAATAACAAAGGCAAAAAGCACCAGGATAATCCTTGTTGCTGTCAAGATTCTAAAATGGCGGTGTTTCAAATTTTCTGCTCCCATGCCGATTTTAGTAAGTTGCTGAGAAATTGTTACTCAAAATTTTCAAGTCGGTAATATTAATACCCTCAAAAACAGAAGTTATGAAGGTTGCAAAGAAAAGATCTTGGTTCGTTCTCTACTTGATAAATTAAGATAAACTTGATAAACTCTACTACACTCGCTTCAGAATAAAGTAATTAATACAGAAAAATTGAAGCATTGCAAATTGCAATACATGTTTTTGGCGTTAGGCCATTTATTTCTACGGGATAAAAAAGAGGACTCATTTAAGCTGAATGGTGAAGAGAATCAATGATAAGGATCCCTCAGGTTCCCCTGATGACAATTGAAAACCCCATAATTCAATTAAGTTCAGCAAAAAAGAATCATGAACATGGAAAGCGATGACCAAAAAATGAAACTACATATCTTCCTTTAAGGCATTACAGACTTCCTGTCATACTTAATTTTTCTTTTGGAAAACTAGTCAACGCAAGTTCTTAAAACCTTCCTTGATTTTTTTTCCTTGTTAGAGGGACACTCTGCATAAATTTCAATCTATAAAGTCTGCTTGTTTCTTTCCCAAAAAATAGAATAGGAGCGGCAACTTAGGAACACTGTGATGGAGATATGTAGTTTTGCACTTTGATCATCGAAATGCTGCTAAAGTTTACAACTATTTTTGCCTTTCATCATAGCCTAAAACTTTCATCATTTTATTTCTACACCGAAAACAATAGGAAAGAGAGAATTATTTCGAAAATTTGATTCATCACAGGCTTTCATAACTTCTCAATATGAGTGGATGTTGATAACAATGATACACAAAACAAACAGATTCTTTCATTTATCATTTCTTTTGTTCGATATGCATTATGGACTTTATTCAGAGCATGTTTATTGCTCAGTTAAATATTGAAACAATGAAAATGAAAGGAAGAACAGAATATAAAAAGGCAACACAGCTGATTATCAAAAAATGGACACGAGAAAAGCTTGGAATGAGCTGGGAACAGATTGAGAAAAGAGTTTTAAGCTCATTAAAACTAGAAAAATTAAGTTTAAAGCACTTAATTTTTTGCAGCCACAGTAAGTCTAAATCTACGTAAGATTATTGAGTCCAATTCTTTTTCTCAAGATGGCAACCGATCAAAGAGAAGTTATTTCATTAGTAACCTAAAAAATCGCATTATGATAAAAATGAAAATGGAGATTAAAGGAAGAAATTAAAGACCCATTTCAAGGTCTGAAGACAGATTTAAAGCCATTCACCTTTAAAATTTTCATCTTTCTTGGATATTTTTTGTTACCTAACTTCTGCATTAATCGTAAACAAATTATAAAAATTCACAACAGAAAAATTTCAAAATTTTACATTTCCAACAGAAATAAACAATTATGGATGAAACAGGAAAAAATGTTATTCTGAGGAAAAAACACTAGCTTCACAGCATATGACAACCCCTGCACTAATTCGTTAGAAGATGGAAAGAACTTCGTATAACTTGAAATGAAGGAGTATTCTCTTAAAAAAATACATTAATATCACAGTTTTTAATAGGTACAAAGAATGTCCCAAAAAAACTGAGGGTATAATAGGTATGAAAATATAGTTTTTAAGAGCTTGTAGCTCATATCATTAGCTCCTAAACAAGCACTCTTCGAGTGACAAAAATGCTGTTAAAAAATTGCCACCAAAAAAAAAATGTGTAACTAAATGAGCTCAACAAATGCTGGAAATGCTGGTAGAATAATACGGACTACAAGTTTGCTCAAATTATACTCCAATACCTTTGAAAGTTTTCTTAAAACAAACCAAGTCTCAGTTTTTTTGGGACGACCTTTGGAGGAATATGGTAAACTTTCTGTTTTTCAATTTTTTCTTACGAACTCGTGATGTTTCTGTGATATGGAAAGAGGCATATCTTATTAAAGTTGAGTTCGTGGTTCAAAATGACCAAAATTTTTTGGTCACAAGATATAATTCTCCTCAGCAGTATGTACATGCAGTACAATAAAGATATACAAAATACATACAAAAAAAGCTTTTAAAAAAATGTTGACTCCTATTGGAGCCTTTTACCACTCTCTTTTTCACTGAAATTGAATTTAACTACAATTATTTCTTCAGAGAAATGGAAAATTGTATCTTAAATATCCTCTTCTTTTCTAAATTATTAACTTGAGTATTTTTGGTAGACTCAAAAAGGAAATCTGTATTGAGACTGATTTACAATAAGGTGTAATAGTCAACACAGTATCAATTTTAAGATCGAAAAAACGTTGGTACAATTACGCATAATTTAAAAAAATAAGATCGAAGACTAAAGTCAAAAAACGCTTGACACAGATTGCAGCATTATAGATTACTGCTCATGCTTTCTTTTATAACAGGAAAACAAACCATCAGTTTTTTTTTTTATTAAAATTTTCTGTGAATTTTCTTCATTCCTTTTGAGAAAAATCGCACAATATTACTAGGAAACATTTAAATTAGTTTTACTTGAAGAAAACAAAATAAGATTGAAGATATTTAGACATTGCAATCGAAATTTGCTTTTTTTTTATGTAGCCATTGATATTTCTGTACAGTTACGTTCAATTTTGAAAACAGAAAGTTTAAAATATGAACGGGAAACACTGTTCCAAATCTTTATGACCAATATTACACAACATGTGTAGCAGAGAGTAAAGAACGAAGCAATTCTGCTTGGAAAAAATGTTGTATAAATCTTCAGAAGTTGCCACATTTCCTCCAATAAAAAAAGAATTTACTGGGAATATTGTGAATATTTTCCTTTCAATTGTTCAGATGATTTCGTTCACAATTGAATTTTAAAAACTAAAAATTTAAAGTAAATACATCCATAATTGTCCTCAAAAATAAATATTTTATTGATGGAGATTTGGCAACATCTAAACGCTTATACAGCAGTATCCCCTGGCTAGGCAAAACTAATCAGTCACAGAGTTTTTTATGGTTAAACTTATACATTTAAGGAAATTATAAAATAATTTTTGCCAAGAAACCAAATTGTTTGTAATGGATAATGTCTTTTGATAAGCGTGTTCTTACACCATACTTATCAAAAAACATTATTATCATCAATTAAGAACACATAAATTTAAAGACTGGTGCAAAGATATTATTTTCAGCTGCTGATCGGCAGATCACTATTTCAAGATGCACGCACATTTATGGAATAAGATCATAAGTTACACACCAGAACTATGAATCGCTCCTTTAAAATGTAAAGTATTCGGCTCCATTAAGCTCTCTTTCCGCCCCCCTCAAAAAAAAAGGAATTAAGTAGTTTTACTTAGAGCTCGTAAAAAAACCACCAACTCTGAGTAAGTTGGAATAGTGCGATGGACTTTCGATAACGATTTACTGTTCTTCCTCCTTCAAGAGACAATTTCAGAGAAGGAATCTTTGAATGCCTCTGGGTTTTTGAAAACAGCAGTGAAGAGTTGAGTGAAAAATTTGAAAAGATATTGTTCTTCTTGGCGGAAAGGCCAGAAGCCCTCCAAAAATCCGATATGACCGCCTCTCGCAGTTACCACTATCGCTACGTGTTCGAGGAGATTAGCCGTTTCAACAGGGATACCTGAAATAAATCCATCAATTAAGTAAAGCAAAGTCCGACAAAGAAAAAGTCAATGTGAAAAAGAGCCTAACTGCATGGAAGTAAATTTTTCAAGGGAGCGATTTTCTAAAATTTGGTCAAAAATCAGAGTTAAGGTTCTTAATGGTAAATTTTCCCTTGTACCTCAAAGAAAAAGATAAGTGGGCTTCAGTTCATTTAAGTGCTGATTCAAGCTTAACTTTTGTAACAGAATCCAACGATTCTGAGTTCTTGAGAGACAGCTGAAAACGTAAAATTTTTGTCCATACCAGCTAACTTTTTTTGACTGTGTGCTTTTCACAGATTTTATTTGAAATTTTTTAACATCTCTCAAGCCAAAATATTTGTAAAACACTAATTAAAGCAAAGGTACTGTCAGTGGCATAGCCAGAAATTTTTCATAGCGGGAGGGGATCTACAGTCAAAAATTCTTACGAAGGGACAAAGGTAAAACATTCCTTAAAATGACAAAAATCAATTTTTTGGAGAAAGTTTTTCAGTCATGGGCGAGTCCAGAAACCCTACCTTTGCTCCGCCACTGGATGCAGCATGTCAACTTAAACTCTTAACACTAAATCCCTTCCCTTTGGACATTTGTCTAAAATGAAAGATAAGACAGCATTCAAACACATATGAATCAGTGAGTTCGAAAACACACCAACTCGGGGAAAAAAAATTGTTCAGGAAACACCTAAAACTGCGCAGCAGGTGAAGAAGTTAGTTTAAGGAAAACTTTTTTAGTGCCAAAGGACAAGTGCTCAGAGACTTTGTAAAACACAAAGTTGAAATCGATACACCATGTTTGATGACAGAGAATTAAGCGTTTAAAAATTTCCGAGTTGGTGTGTTTTCGTTCTCACAGACTTTCAGATACTGATTTTTCATTGTCTGCCCTGAAAAATTTATATTTTTTGACCTGAATAACGCTTTAATATTTATATAACTTGTTGGTATAAGGTATACTGAACCGAAGAAAGAAATCGCAAAATCGGATGGTCACCTGTTTCCCTTGAAATGGCCAAAAATTGGTATTTCCAATTAAATACTTTGATTCTTCCCTTTTACTGTCGCTGTTTCGAGCACTTCCGATTGCAATTCCAAAATTTCCTTTAACGTGCAGATGCTTCTATCTATAAGTGTTACTAAACCATAAAAAAGTGAAATTCGAAAAAAACCCGAGTTGGTGTGTTTTTGAACTCACTGATTCATATTATGTATCTTCATCATTAGGTGCTCTGAAAAGAGGGTCAATACTTCAACACCTAAGGTTGATTGGAAATTTTAAATTTTAATCAACGAAAACAAAAAATTAATTAAAAGGATGGACAAAAGACCCTAAATTCAAGAAAAAGCTTGTTAACCAACACTTCGGTTGATACAGTCTTTCCATTCAAAATTCTGATAATTAAACTGAAATTGATTTGAACTGAGGTTTACAGATGTTTCCCATGGAACCAAAAATGCGAAATCATGACCTACCTTCTAAAGGTTGGAATGGATCATCTGCAGCACTGAGACAAACGACTGGCACTTTCACGCGATGAATTTTGTTATGAATAGTTGCATTTTCATAGTAATCATTCACATCTTTGTAGCCGAACTGTTTGACAGTGAAATGAGAGTCGAATTCTCTGATGGTTTTACTCTGAAATCAAGCAAAAATTGAGTTGCAAGAAAAGCCAAAAGTGTTTGAAACTTGTCATTTAAATGAACGTATTTCTGCCAAACGGAACTATGTGCATTAAGACATGAGCCCTGAGACCAATAAAAATATGTGCATAACAGGGCTCACGTCATAATGCACATAGTTCCCTTTGATAGAAATACATCCAAGTAAAAGAATGATTTCAATACAGGAACTCCGGTGAAATGCATCTGATCTTTTGGATCTCAGAGATGAGTTGGACATTTCTTTACTGTGGTAAAAAATGTTCTCGCTCAGAGGCCAGGTAGCTCCGTTTGCAACATTGCAGACTTCTTGTCATACTTCAATTTTTCTTTGGAAAGCTAGTCAACTTAATTTCGTGAAAATTTCCTTGATTTTTCTTCTCTGTTAGCAGATTATTCTGTACAAAGTTCAAGCTATGAAGTTGCATATAAGTAGCTCTTCTTCAAAAAAAATTAAATGAGAGCTGAAATTTTGGAACATCACAATAAAGATGTACATGGTTCCGCAGATTGACTTTCAAAATGGTTCGGCCGCCCCACATCTAAAATGACTCATAGAACTTGCCCTGAGTGGTACTACTACGCTAAAGAAATACATTCATTTTACAATAAAAGCTTTTTCAATTGTAAGAAACATTATGAGATAAAATCATTGGACAGCAAATATAAAGTGAAAGTTGACTGCGCTTAAGACTTACAGAAAGCACTTTTTCCATTTCGTATTTTTGAGATGGCTCCAAGACATGTCGAAGACTGCAAAAAAAAAAAATCAAATGAGCCAAAAGTTGAATCGACATAGATATTTAGGGGTTCTTTCTTCAACCCTCTTTAAGATAAAATTTTGATAGAAGGTCTTTCATTGAAAAATGTTTTGATTTCAAGGGCAAAATCATTACATAAATGTTTTCTTTCTTTTTTTAAAATAATATAATAAAGCATAATGCTCTACAAGGCTCCTGTACCTATACCGACAAATATTCAGCTTCAGATTTTAGGATGAAACCTTTGAGATTTGTGCTCACACCGTAAAAAAATTGTACTAAAAATTTGACGATTATTGTATTTGTAAGTTGGCAAAATACAAATGATCTTACTGGTTGTCTGCATTTACTACAGATGCGCCTTATGGCCGCTTCGGATTTGACATTATACACTCTCGTGACTGGATTTTTTTCTCTTTGTTGCAAGAAATCATCCACATATTCAGACACATACCCTTTAACAACCTCTGTGAGGCAAGAGGCAAGATATCTGTTCATCAACATGTTCAGCCCAAATTGTTCAATGCTGTCAACAGCCACAGAAATGTTCCAAGGAACAGAAATGATCAGGCAGCATTTGAAGTTCTTGTTGGCTTTCTCCGATTCGTGAGCGAGGTAATTTCCAAGGACCAGTCTGCAATAAGAAAATTAATCCAAAATTAATGTTACCTTGCCAGATGATTATCGTTAAATGTATGTATCTACCTTAAATGTGTGACACAATATGTAAATGTTAAGGTTACTTCGAAATGTTTATGCTGATCAAAAACGACCATATACATGGTAAAACAGGTGTACAATAGGAAATTTCAGCCCATTAATGTGACGATCTGACTCTTGTCTTCAATCCTTCTTCTGGAGAAAATTAATTCATTAGCTATGCAAGGTTTTCTTGATGATGATGCTAAGTTATGAACTCTTATAATAAATTACAAGCCCATGAGCGAGAAAAATGGAACTGTATTCAACTTAAAACCTACTGTTTACTTTGGAACTACCATTGATATCCAGGTGTACTTTTTTAAAGTAATCATGGGTTAACATTTTTGTCTTGGTGATCTTCGAAACACTTTAAGATGGAGAAAAACTGAGCAATAAATAAAAAGTTGTTGTTTTTATTGTGTCCTCCTTAAAATTTTTAGCTGAAATTTTTCCACCCATCTTTCCTTAAATTTCCAATCCTGTGCACACTTTGATCTCTGCAAGGAAAAAGTGACCAATTTCAAAAAAGAATCCAACAGCAGTTGACAGCCACAGCTACAACAACCTCAATTTGGGCCCTGAATGAGAAAGGGACGATTCTTTGTTGTAGTGCTCCAAAATCTCGGCTAATATTTCATCGATTGTGAGGAGAGTGAATGCATAGATTTCATGGGTACTTTTACAGATATTCTTCTTGACTCAAAGATGTTCATACGAATATTCTGGAAAAATCACTCACTAGATTCTTCTCTAAGGCGGCAGAAAAGTGCCCCTCTCGCATCTAACGCCTGAATTGGACTATATTTTGCAGTTTAAACTACAATTTCTGCTCAGTTAAGAAAGACCGTATGTATCATTATTTCCCCTATACACATAAGTGTTGTGACAGATGCGTCAGAAATTAGAGCTCCTGATTACAAAATTTAATCTAATTCTGAGAGCTTAGGAGTGGACTTTCGACAGATCAAGAACCATTTCTATTTCTGGGAAATTTTGATTAATAGCAAGCGGACTTAAACCGTAATTCAATATTTAACTCACTATTATCAGCCCTCAGTGGTTTTAATACCTGAAACCAAAGTTTGCGATTCTACTTTTGAGCATTAAACATTCCCATTTACATGCCCAAAATGTGAGCTTAGGTTCAATGATATAATACTACAACATAAACCAACACCAATGATTCCAATCATCATGTTTTACCGCAGAATTTTTCTGATTTTGTAAGTATTCAAGTAAACAAAATTAATTTATCAGTCGGTAATTTAGCTTCTTGGTTATAACTGAAAAGCTGGACTACCGCATTCCATTTCCTCATTATTTTGTCCCGATGATTTTAGGGTGAATTAGTTTACACTTGGTAGCATTAAATTAATTAGGATGTGATTCCTGTCAGTTGCAAATCCTTCAAATCTCAGAAGAGAAAAGAGAAATCAAGAATCTAGCTTACCCTCCCATTGAAACGGCAGTGCATCCTAATGGACTTTCTGGATACTTGCTTTTTACATGGTCAATTACTTCAGTCAAATCTTCGTAATTACAAGCGCAATAAGTTCGTGGAGTCTACAAAATAGAAAAAAGCAATTCATACATTGTGGTAGGATCTTCAGAGACATCCTACTTCACATTAAAAAAATAGCCGATGAAAAAAGGGAGCTGAAGGGGAAACTAAGGTAATAAACTGTATAATGATTAAGAAATAAATACTAAACAGAAACTTCAAAATTGAAACCATAGCAAAGGAACTGTCGCATCCATTAAGTTTATGAAAAAATGTGAACCATGACCAGAGCTTCAAAATAATTGTAAGCAAAGGACCCTGCTCAGAAAACCAAGGACTTTGATGCCCAATAGATTTCATTATTATTGAATATCGATGGTCATAGTGCAAAACCAACTATCTTCAATTGCGACATTGCAGAGTTCCCGATATACTTCATTTTTTCTTTGAAAAACTAGTCGGCGTAATTTTTTGAAAACTTTCCTCTCAGTTATAGTCCGAGAGCCAGACGACTTTGAGTGACAAACTCGGGATACATGTTTTGACCCCCTAAATCGATAGCCTTGCATGCACTGAAACGGAAAATTTTTGTCTGCCGCCCTCTAGCCTGTGCCATCACCCTCATCTAGGCCCTCAAAGTGGTCCAAAAAACACCATCTGGTGACAAACTCCTGACGCTNAGTTTGTCACTCAAAGTCGTCTGGCTCTCGGACTATTAGCAGAATATCCTGTATAAATTTCAAGCTAAAAAGTTGGTTTGTTTCTCTTTGAGTAAATAAAATTGGAGTAGAAGTTTAGAAACACCGCAATGGAGATACGTTGTTTCGCACCTTGGCCATTAATATGACATACCTACCTCAGCTCATGTTTAAAACCAGCATGCCTTCTCTTACTGAGATTTGGCACTGCCTCTGCTTCAAATATGCAGAACCTTCTGTTTTGAAACAATACAGAAAAAAATACACGGAAAAATTCAAGTTTCTATACTTCCTTGATTTTATAGCTCTTAATACATCACAGACGTTACCTCTTCATTGGTAGCTCAAATCAAGTGGGTTCACTGATGGCTTTGCATTTATCAGCGACGACTTTACTAATATCAGATCATTTTCAAGCAGTTTAAACGCGATTGTTGCTTACCATTTTTCTGGGTAATCTGTTGAGAAAATTAATATAACGAAGCAAAGAAAATTCTAAATTCGTAATTGGGCGATAGTAAAGGCTACTGTGTGCCTGAATGAATTTAAGATTAGTAATTAAATAATTATGAACTATACCAACCTTCAGAGGGATTCCACCAAGGCCACGATAATTGAAAACAACTGAGCGAACACCTAGACTATTTGCAGATCGCACAAAGCCTTGAATATAATCAGCTTGACTTTCTCCTGTCAATCCTGGCAGGAATAACATTGTTGGAGTGTCTGGTTTATCGTCCTTAGGCAGAGACCAGTCTAGGCAAACCATGCCACCATCCGGTAGTTCTAGAATTTCCCTAAGTAAAAATACACTAGATTAATAAAATATATTTAGCCTGTATGAGAGGAAAAGTGTCGATTACTGATTTCTGTAAAATGTAAACTCTCATTAATTAATAGTTTTGCAGAGAGGATAAAACCATTTTGAAAAATAAAAAATGCATGGATGATCACAAAGATCTTAGTTACTTGGAGTCTTGAATTTGATTGTTGTCGGTGGAGGTATAAACTACTACCTGAACAAGAGGGAAAAGAGAATCAGAGGATTAAAAAAATCATCTAACTCGCAAAATAAATGCTGATATGTTTCACAACCCTGCTGTCCCATCTTCAAGACTGAAATTCCGGAAATTCAAGACCAAAAAAATTAGGGAATCCCACCCTTCAAGAAGGGATTACAGGGTTTTGAAATGTGTCAGCATTTACTTTAATTTATTCTGCAAGTTTAAGTTTTTTAATTTTTTTATTTTCTCTTCTTCTGTTAGTTTCAGTTTTGTTTTTGTTTCTTTGGTTTTCATTCTGACTGTAAATGGATTTAAAGAAACATTTATTTTGTACATCAATAGTTCAACAGTTTACATGCTTAGATAATGGAAGAACTTTCTTTAACTCTGATGAGTTTTCATTTGATTAGAGTTCAGGTAGGATTGACAACAACTTGTTTCGAGCAAGTTTAAGTAAGTTAGTCAGTTCATGACTAAATACAGCTGTTTCTTGAACATTATTGGGTTGAGTTGATATCGCAACTTCATGATTGAAGTTGCCTTATTCAGATTCCCATATTCATTTACACTTTCACACAACTGCAAACACAGCTTCATTTTCTTTTCATGCTTTCAAACGCTAGCCTTTGTCTTCATGTATTTGATGATTGAGGATGTTAATTTGAAGTACTTGAATTCATTCATTCAGCCCATGCAAAACAGGACTGAATGAAGAACTAACCACTCAGCAGGTGATGAACCCTACATCTTAGATTCTATAAAACAGAAAATGTGAGTAGCTAATTACCTTGAGTACTGAACATTACTGAGGAACTTTGTTCGTAAAAATGTAGAAAACATTGTCTGGGCTCGGGATTCGAAACACCATATTGTAGGCCAAAACCTTTCATTTAACAGGGGCATGTATGAATATAAGAATTTTCTAAATTTTCCATCGGAGCAGAATACAGCAGGACGCTGAAATGAGTAAGAGGGAAACATGTTAGAAAATTGTGATGCAAGACAAGAAAATTATAGATTTAAAAGAATTTTTACAAATTTCCTAAATGCACTCTTTGTTAATAAGTGCTTTGCAGTGAGATCCTTAACAGTATGACGATACAAATATGTATTCCAGTCTGTGACTCCCTGTTACACATAATTTTTGAAATGGAAAAGTATTCAACGTCATCTCTTCCAAACTTCTGTAATTTTTCTTCAGTACGTGCAGAGTATTCAATGAAAATATGTCAAACAATAGCCTTACTTAGAAAGTGCAGTATGGCTTGAAACTTCAACCCAATATTTTTTTAAGTATCTTTAAAGAAGGAGCCAGGCACTATAAAACCTGAAAGCCCGTATTTTTTACTCCAAACCAGTTTATTGGCTGTACTGAATGATTAGAGTTTCCATTTTAAGGCACATTGAGTCTTATCTGTTACAGTTTTATTTTTTAAAAAAAATACATTTTCTTATGCTCCTGTGATAATTTCATTTTCATGGTAAGTAAGAGCTGCACTTTCAAGTTTATTCACTTCTCAACAATTCTTGGGATGTTAAACATTTAAATACAGATATATAACATGCAGAGACCTTTTTAAGAGAAAGTACACAGAAAATAACAAGAGAGGCCTTTGATAGGAGGCCTATGGATGCTTACTTAAAATTATGAGTATTAGACTTATTTTTGATTCTCAATGATAGTAGAGAACTCTGGTTCCACAAATATGGAGTCCACATCAAATAAATCTACACACTTTAAAACTGCTGCAGAAGATGTTACATTTTGATTCTTGCATTCACTGTCAAAACTTACTTAAGTACTTAAGGTGATTCGATGGATGTCATATTTTGTGTCAGAATAGCATACGATACATCGCATCAATTGGCTCTATTTTTTCAGCTACTCGTCATTTTTCTCCAATTTTGAGATCGCAATTCTGTTGTCAGGAGACCAAAGCACCCACTTACCAATTTTAACAAAGAAATTCAACGTAATGAAGGCGTGGTTTTCTTAGAGAGAAAATATCGCATTCGACTACTGTTTCGATATCAGTATCAAATGCGATGTTTTCTCTCTGAAAAAACCCAGCCTTTATTACGTTGAACTTCTTTGTTAAAATTGGTGAGGGAGTGCTTTAGTCTCCTGACAACAGAATTGCGATCTCAAAATTGGAGAAAAATGACGAGTAGCTGAAAAAATGGAACCAATTGATGCGATGTATCGCATGCCGTTCTGACACAAAATATGGCGTCCATTGAATCACCTTAACTGCAGACAGCTGCTCATCTACTGCACTCTAAAGTGCATAAGAACTTCTTAAGCGTGGACTCAACAAAATTACTTGACTAAAATTAATAAGAATAAAATAATTGCGTACCTTTGCAACTTCTAGAAAATAATAGAGGAAAAATCCACTACCAAGAGCAGAACCAATCACCCAACGAGGCATGGCGGAGATGAAGAAAAAATAAGACAGTAACCATTCCATTTTATGCTTGCCTGATCACTTAAGGAGTTGTGGGGTCACGGAACTTGCGATGTAAGATGATTAAATTTCCATTCTGAAAAATAAAAGCCACAAACATGATCATAGGGGAGCAAATAACTTATAAGAAGATTTTATATAATATGTAATAATATTGGACGAGTGTAGTGCCACATTTGCCTTCATAATTTAGTAGACAGAAAAGTACCAAATTCACGGAAGAACTGCTATTTATAATTAGTCTTTAAATTAAAAATTATGTGAAAAGTTTCCTGTATTTCCTCAGTTTTAAAGGGAAAAAATTATTGTAAATACTTGCCACATTATTATAAAATAAAACGAATGCTCCTCATTTAATGAGATAATTGAAACAAAACATGCAGGGAAAGCAAAAGCCTTGAAAACCTATCATTCAATAAATGTACAAATTTTCTTGAGAGACAAAAAATCTGAGCTACGAATAGGGTAGCAGCTTCTTTCTGCGGGTCGCTTCTTCAATGAGGTTCGAAAAGATATACCTTTGTAAATCCATCTGAAAAATTTTTAAATAGTTTTTTTCAAGATTTATTTACTGTTGTCAGGACTTTCATAATTACAAATATGATGGTGCTAAAAATTGATGAAAGAAAAGGAGCCGCAATTCAGGATTTGTTCATTGGGGAAATTCATGAAAGGAATATGTTTTTTCCCCCGAGAAGATCATGTTCGGTTACCCTGTCTACTAAAACAACTGTTGAGGGTTGCAGCATAACAATGACATGTTACTTTGTCAGATTCATAGAACCCATAATCACTCTGGGATTATGAAATTTGGAGGTTCAACAGCCTAGCCATCGGTCAATTGCGAAACACTGTCGCGGATAGCAGTTGATTTAAACCATCCTCATGTTCATCAGAGGTTACACAGAGGAGCATTAGTCATGCAAAACAACAAAAGGAATTGCGTGAGTCATTTCTTCATTCTATCGTTACTCGCTCTCAAAATATGAAAACTCATGCATCCCGGGGACACAGGTGTACATGAGCACCAGCTGAGTGCATGACCTGACCCACTGACTTCTGTGTTCATGGAAGCAGGGTTATTGACCGTGTATTCTCGTGAGCCATCCATAAAAATGCTGCGAGACAAATTGATAAGAAAGAAAAACTGATTTCAGATAGTATTGGGTTATTGTAACGTGATAGAAGCTACTTGCTGGAGACTTAATTCTCAAAATGTAATGATCAATGATAATGAATGTGAAACGATAAGGACCTCCCGGCGGGTTAGAATAAACAAACGCAGGGCGGAACTGTTCTTAAGCAGGTGCCTTGCGGATTTCACAACGTGCAGATAATGAGAAAAGTACATATTTACCTGGGATTAGATTCCGAAAAAGCACCACGGCCCCACAAATTGATGATAACGTGAAATAATCTACTTCCTTCGGCCGACGAGAAGCGAGCTCGTACGGAGAGACCCGAGCGCGTCCGAGACGGAGCGGGAAGCGCGAAAAGTCGATTAATTCAAAAATTTCGGACGTATGAGGTTTCGCAAGCCGGTTTCTGGTTTGCGGATTACGCGTGCCTGCTCAATTTTACTTTCAAATCCAAGGCCTCGGCTCGGAGCCTTCCATTTGTGTCTGGTTAATTTATGTCGGGAATACTTCGCACTCATCGCACTGCATAATTTCATCTCGACCGCCGTGTCGCGCCGGAGCTCGGTGCGCGGCGCGCAGTGGATCGAGCCAATAAAAGAAGTCGGACCAAATTTGGAAACTTTAAAAGCTTACCTATATTTCCAAAAATTTTAAACCAAAAAGTTTAGGAGTGGCTCCATTGCTTTGTTTGTAGAATTCCCTTTCAGAGACACCAATTGAAATTGAATTTGTCACGAAATAAACATAAAAATTTGAAATTTCGGCCAAAACTTGATGTCCGACCTCTTTTATTGGTTCGTTCCACTGTGCGGCGCGGGAGAGCATAACTGGTTTGGACAGCGGGGAAATACTTGGTCGTAAAATGGTAATTCTCTAGAAACTGTAGAGATGGGTCTTTCGTTTCGTATTAGCTCTCAAAATCATCATCGGCTTGTATGCCACTCGGTTTGGCGGCTTGGCGATACGACCTTATGGGAGCCAGTGGCGGCGGCCACTAGGGCGGGAGGGGAAACAGCTCCCTTAGTTTTCGAGGATTACCTTCCTTTTTTTAAAGACATATTACGTATGAAAACACGAAAATAACGTCTTAGGGGTCCCCGGGCCCCCAGACCACCGTCGATTAAAGGAGACCCTTATTCAGCCCATTTGCCACGTCTGATGATAACCTTAGAGGCAACGACTGATGAAGAGAAATTTTCCTCAACTCTATAAAATAAACTGCCAAAATTCGCGAGTGAAGGAATCGAGAACCCTTTACTTGGATTTTTGAAAAGTAAAATTTAAATAAAAAATCCATTAAGAAATGGCTGTACATTCTGCTGAGTGATTAGGGACACTTTGTTTTTTAAATTTTTATTTGTAAAAAAAAAAAAAAAAAAAAAAAAAAAAAAAGCTTCTAAATCTTTAAGAGTTTTTTTGTGACACTTTTACACTTTGTGACTATTTTTCACTCACGAACACTGAAAAAAGTCTCTTGGATCCGGAGTCCAGACTCTTAAAACATTTTACAAAGAACAAATACTCTCGATTCAAGCGGAGGTTCGCTGGAATCGAAAGCCAAGCCTCTAAATTTAGGCGGCTCTCCTTTTTAATTTTGATTCATTCAAAAATCCGCTTGAATCAAGAGTATTTGTTCTTGTCAAATGGTTTTTCCCATGAACGGAAAATTCGTCATTTATCACCCTAACCCCTTAATTTTTTCAAGCTACGCTGAAGTTTCACGGATGCTGCTGGACCTTAGCTCTGCGCGAATGATGCGATTGCACGTTGGCGAGCAGGAGATATTCGCGACGCATGCACTCCAACTACGCCGGTCGATTCCATCGGCGCGGCGAGGGGGGGGGGGGGGGG